CTCGGACAAGAGAGACATTGAGGGGCTGGAGCGTGTGCAGGGAAGGGAACGGAGCTGGGGAAGGGTCTGGAGCAGCAGGAGGGGCTGAGGGAGCTGGGGGGGCTCATCCTGGGGAAAAGGAGGCTCAGGGGGGACCTTCTGGCTCTGCAACTCCCTGACAGGAGGGGGGAGCCAGGGGGGATCGAGCTCTGCTCCCAGGGAACAAGGGGCAGGATGAGAGGAAAAGGCCTTAAGTTGCGCAAGGGGAGGTTTAGGTTGGACATCAGGGAAAATTTCTTCATGAAAATCGTTATCAAGTCTAGGAACAGGCTGCCCAGGGCAGTGTTGGAGTCCCCATCCCTGGAGAGGTTTAAAAGCCATGTGGATGTGGCACTTGGGGACATGGGTTAGTGGTGGCCTTGGCAGTGCTGGGGGAACAGATGCACTTGATGGTCTTAGAGGGCTTTTCCAACCTAAACAGTTCTGTGATTCTGTGATTCTAAACAATGCATGAATATCAGGGTTTAATAATAATTTTTGTTTAGTAGATACATTCAGAATTCAGATCCTGGTGTGACACTGCCACACTGCCACAAGCCCAATGCCTTGAATGGAAACTGCACCCACAGGCTTGACTCAGGTTTTTTCCCAGCATTACATTACAGTTAAATAATACATCAGATGATAGTTGGTATTAACTAATATATTTAAATCTCTCTTTTCAGAGAAGAATTGTACTTTTTCTGTAGCAATAAGAACAAAGGGAAAAGCCACAACAGTCTCCATTGCATGATTAAATTACATGTCCCCCATTAGAAAGGAATGGTCCCCATTACTCCCATTGTTTATCAAAAAGAAACAACTTCTAAAGAAATAACTTGTTGGGAGTTGCATGAAAAGAAAATTAGCTTGCATATTCAAGAATAAGCACTCTCAGTGACAGTAAAAAGAAATAAACAGCATTCTCAGATGACAAAGATAACCAACATCTCGATAAACTAACATGGAGATTGATCTTACTTTGCTTACAACCATTGCAAGTTCCCTCATCTCACCGCTCATGCCAATAAAAGCACTAAGGGGTTTCAATAATCGTTCCTGAAAAAGAAAAACATAAGTTCTTGTCAGACTTCAAATATTTTCAGACAGACAAACTATTAAATACTTTTTGAAAAGCTGATACGTGGTGTAATATCAACTCTTACAGGTGTAGAAACATGGATAATAATAAAGATTTTGAAGTAAGCCATTTCTGCAGTAAGGCAGACTGGCACTATGTGAGCTGGGTGCACTGTCTGAGAAGTCTGGCTTGTGTCAAGGAGTGATTACTGAAAATTTACCTCAGCCATCCAAACTCCGTTGCTGTCTCAGCTGAGGCGAATGCTAAAAACATACTACATTCAAAGGAACCAGAATTTCACCTTCAGAAGTTCTGTGGGTTTCTGCAATTATTTTTTTTTTTTTCATCATAAGGTATCATTTCTATTTGTTGCTTACTTTTATGTTCAAAAAGTAAACAACTGTCAACAAATTAAGCCAGTATCAAGTATGACTGTCCTTTCAAGGAGGAAATATCTCTCTCAGAAATCTAAGCCCCTTTTTAGCACTTGGGAACAAAGACGACTTTGTTGCACTATTTTGTTTTTTTTCTGGTTATGTAAAACTCATTTTATTATTACTGGATGGAAACATGAACAGAAACACCTACTGAGGGATCTGGATCATAATTAAGGCTGTTCAAGGCAATTTCGTTTGGTGACATTCTGACAGCATCCTGGATCATCCCGTGGAAGTCAATTACTTGGCCCTAAAGGAGAAAATAATGTTGTAATAGGCTCTACCCACGACGGTAGCTCTACATTGGACCAAATTTTGTTTGCAGTTACAGGGTTTCCTTACTTCATATACAGTCCTAATTATGGCAAAAAACAGACCACAAAATCTGTGGTAGCAACAGGAGTAGAACACATATCTCAGCCATTGAAACAATTTAACTGCAGAGCCTCTTATAATCTCATTCAGGAATTCAAAATTTATCTTCAATTTTAGGTATTACCACTGGGTTTTAAAAAAAACCATATTCTTCCTTCTTGAGTATGTCTAAAATAGTATTTAATGCAAACAGAGCTTCCTATGCAAAGAATTGTTACCCAAATCATAAAATTCACCTTTCAGCTGACTATACAGGAACATTTTATAAAAATATAGACTCAGAAGGCTAACATTTGATATTTTTGAAAACCTTTGTGTTTTTTAATCCATACATATTTCTATGATAAATCACATACCAGGTTTCCACCAACCTTTCTTGGGTGAGGGCTGTCTCCTCCAGGTTTACTGATTGCTGAGATGCTTAAGCCAAAGCCAGATTGGTCTGGAGTAACTGCACTGTCACTATTCTAAAAAAACAAATAAATTTTTAAAAAGATGTGTTGCCAATTAGGTCAATTGAAGACATTACATTATAGGTATCATCCCACCTCTTCATATATGCCCAGATGAACTGTATCATTACATGGAAGTTCCAAGAGTAATCCCATACTTGTCAGACCAACACCACTTACATTTAGTTAGGCTTCATCTGACTGGTGACAGCAGTGAAAGCCACAGCTCTAGAGCTCAGCAGTCCAGTTATTACATGTACAGAGCAGAAAACTGCATTTTATACAGTTGTAAGAAGCAACATTTATGTACAGTAGAAATTACAGGCAAGTGTAAGGCACAGAACATCAACTCAGAGATGACGAGTTATCACATATTCACTTCACAGCCGCTATTCCTGAAAAATCCAAACGGTAATGTTTTGGGTTTTTTAAGGGTAAGAACAGGTCAGAGATTAATTCCTCTTGGTGCAAGAGGAAATATAGACAAGCCCTTAAAAAAAGCTGTAACAGACACAGTGCTTGCCCACCAACCTGCTATTCTGGACGACCCACTGTAAGGGATGATAATAAAGTGGATTTCACAGTAATCTGAACAAAATGAGACCCCCAAAATTGAAAATTACAGGGTCAAATTACTCCCCCAGTCTCAAACACCTTATGCACTGTGAAGATGCTTACAACTGACACAAAGCTTTCTATTAGATTTGTTTGTCTTGCTTTCTGGCACTAAAGGATGAACATGCTGATAATAATGGGAAAACTCTGATTGCTTTCAGTGCAGGTTGGATTATATGGCTCCTTTTCCTCCAATTTTTGCCTGTGACTTGCCCCCCAACTCACAGCCAGAAAACATGTTCTCTTTAAGTCTTTCACCTTGAATTACATAATCAGTAAAGCCCATTAGTTGCACAGTTATTAATGGTGTGACTCCCATACATTTGCTGCCTATCGACTCTCAAAATAAAATCACATTAATTTCAATTGTAATGCTACCAAGGTAAAACATGTTTAAACCTGTCTGGGGCTCTCCTTGGCAGATGATTTAGGTTCTGTTGTGCTCCCAGAAGTTTTTGACACTGGTTGTTGTGCTGTCTGTTGCTTGAACCTTGGTATATTTTGAGAAGAGCTTGCTGCCCTAGAATTAAAAAAAAAAACAAAACCAAACAGTTTCACAACTTCTTTTTTCCTTCCAAATACCAAAATATTAGAAGGTAAAGTTTTCAAATAAAGCAGTTTTGGGCTAACTTTGCTCCCGCTGAAGTTATGGCATCAACTTCAATCACAGCAGAGTTCTGTGCTCACTGTTTACAAACACCTCACCCCACCTTATCCACACTGCAGAAACTTTGCAAATTGTCTGCCTCTCCATTTGGGAAGTAAGTCTCTATTTGCCTGTAACACATCACACAGTCAGCTTCATAGCCCTGGGCTTCAATATTCCTGCAGTATCACAACATTATTTTAACCAGGGTGCATATTGTTTTCACAGGAAAATTTTCTGCCCAGAAAAACACCCCACATGTTTCTCTTACCTTCTTACTCTTCCCCCAGTTCGCAGCTGTTGTTTATTTTCTGCTGTGGCAAAATCAACATTGAAATAGAAAATAATTAATGATAGAAAAAAAAAGGCAATTTGACTTTTTTTTTCCTCCCTTCAAAAATATTTTCAAGCATACATTAGTGACATTGGAAATAACAATGCATAAGCAGGATCAGCATGATTATAAGCACTACAAGCTTGCAAAAACTTTTTGAAAACAAACTGATATTGGTGAGAGCAGTTTTGCTTCAAGTTTGTTCAAGTTTAGGCTCATTCAGTCTTTGGTTTCTCTGCTTACATTTTAAAACAAGTATCATGTTCACAGTAAAATGGGCACTACCAGAAATTAGATTAAGCACAATAATTTAATATATCACACAGAATGCTTATTTAATGCTAATAATTTTTTCACTGCTGAATTGGGAAATATGAATTTGCCTTACTCCTCTTCATAATAATCAAGTTCAACATAACAAGACAGAATAAAAGTCACATTGCAATGGTGGTTATCAAACTATGTTATTTTTTGCGTTTATATAATTTGAAACAAATTCTGTCAAAGAAAAGGTTTTTGTCATAAAATGTTGAACTCACAAAGCCCAGATGTGAACTCATAAAGCCAAGGGTTTGTGCCCTTATCAGCACAGACCTGGTTGTTCCAAAACATGTCTCCCATCAGTGTTCTCTGTACGACGCTCTTCCGTTCAAGATTCTCACACGCTTATATAAAATAATCCTTCCCAAACAGCTCTTCCCCTGAAAGAGCTTGGGAACACAGAGGCAGCAGAGCCCACAGATAAACCTGTAATCTTGTGGGTTTGTCTGTAATACTTCCAACTGGGACCCAGCATGGAAATGACCAAGTTAGTTCTGCAGGACTTGCCAAGAGTGTTGCAAACAGTTGAGTAGGAAGGAGCACCACATTAAGCCTTTTGTTTAGATACACATATCTGACTATGGGCATAATTTAGGGCACCTTGCAAACTACATGCCAGAGAGGAAGCTGCTTACACTTCAGGGAAAAAGGATGATGCCTCCCTGCCAACACAGTCACAGCTCTGAGCCTGGGTAATGGTGGAGTACTCCAAGTCGGAGAGGCTTTACTGACCAAAAAAAATGCATCCTGAGAGCTTTGAAATGTCCCAGAGTGGCTTTCTAGGAATTGTTTTTTCACTTAGATCATGGATTGAGCCTTGACTACCACTCAGTTTGACTAAGATGTGAAAAAATGCTTTGTAATACATTTTCACTCTTGATTCACGACAAATCCCTTTAGTTTTGTCCTGCAAGGCTGTTCCTTTTTGTATTAGCACCAATTAATATGTTCTACATGTGCACACCTTTTTCATGCAAATAATCACAGAATCCTTAGGCTGGAAAAGCCCTCCAAGGCCATCAAGTCCAACCACTCCCTCAGCACTGCCAAAGCCACCACTAACCCATGTCCCCAAGTGCCACATCCATATGGCTTTTAAATCCCTCCACGGATGGGGACTCCACCACTGCCCTGGGCAGCTGTGCCAGGGTTGGCTGGACAACCCTCTCCATGAAGAAATTTTCCAAATATCCAGTTCAAATCTGTATCCTTCAAGCTCTTCATCACTGATTTTTACAAAGTTGTTCTTATGGCTTCTCTAAGTCACATTTTGTGCTCAAGTACAAAACCATTCAGGCTCTCAGGGTCATAACACAATGGTCATATTCTGACTTGCCTTATTCTGTATCATTCTTTTATACCTCAGCCTTACTAGTCTCTCTCCATGAGAAGAAAGTGAATAAATATATCTATGCCATAACGCTTTGTGCTTAGCTGACATTTTCCACTATCACAGCAGTTTTTAAAAGACAGAAAAATGCCACTTTTTTGTTCCTCTACATAATGAGAGAATGGAGAGGAGAAGGGCTCAAAACCCCATCTCTCAATTCTTATGCCTTCCATGCTAGAACTATAGGTCTGTAACTGTAAGGGTTGGAACACTAAATGCTGACATACACAAAAAGGGCTGCTAGCAGAGCAAGCAAACATACATTTTAGTCTTTGGAAACAAAAGCTTTCTTTTTGGAACAGAGTCACATACCGGTGTCCAGGACCTTTTTGGTAATTTTAGGATACTTTTGAAATTTTACAAAGTAATAGCTTTCATATTCCATCAAAATTGTCTCAAGATCAACGTTGTCACAAACTTCAAAGCCACGTAAACTTAATTTCGTCTCTTGTTCCAAAGCATTTGCAGCATCGACATATCTGGTAATTTAAAAAAAGGAACAAAGATCAAAAAATTGAGAGTCATTATCTTACTCTGATTTTTGAGAGAAAAAGCAAACAATGGCATTAGTAACTATATAGTATCTTTAACTTGTCCACAAGTCTACTTATTATAAAAGTATAAACTCTATTTAAAAAAGCCTTTGCTGGTTGATCTAAAGTATTTTTTAATTATAGTCGACATTTTTGTTCCAGGAACTGAAGCAATTTAGCAAAGTAAAATGCCAAGAATATGTAACAGTAGTTTACCTCTTTCTCACATCAGCCCAAAGGCCCATAGTATTCATCCACCCAACAGAAGGACACAGTACAGGAGGTCAGACACACACAGTCCCACAAAGTAGAGCCCTGCTATTTAAAACACTTACCCTTCCTCCATTAAATAATGCAAAATTAGAATGAGGAGATTTTTCCGACGAGCTTCTGTTCGCATCTCCTCCTGTGAATTAAGACAGAACTCTAGATCAAATGTAATATTCTCTTTATTGCTGTAAACAGCATCTAAATGTAGCCTGTGGAAACAAACAAATTAAGACAACAGCATGTAAGAACTGTAAAACAACTCACTGTTAATAAACACAAGGAAAGTGGTTTTCAATCTAATTTTTCTTACACATTATCAGGGCTACTGGATGGGTAGAAGCCTTTTCCTAGAAAAGAGAAAATTACCTCGAGGTTGAACAAATAGCTTACTTCTCTTACTAGGGTTATGGATGCCCAACATGTTCATGCTGCTGCAAGACTCCAGGGTAGGGCTCTTGGAGGCTTCAATGCCCAGTATCTCCAGGGGCTGTGCAAGGAAATCTAGTGCTCCAGCCTGCCTGTGTACTTCCCTTGCAACTAGAAACCTGTTCTCTGAGTGCTTGGAGGAGGGGATGGAGAACAGGTCTGGGATATGCATGGCTCTACTACGAAGACCAGCTGTAACACTGTTGGCACCTCCTGTTTCATGGGCCTTGACATATAAACACAGCAAATGAAACACAGACACTTGCAGAATTGTAGTGGGTTGGGGTAGCACTGAACTTGCGTGATTTTAACACAGGGGTGACCAAAACCAGGTTTCAAGACACAGAAATTTCAATATGGATTCAGTCCCATGGATTCCTCGGCATAGAGTGGAGAACCCAAAGTCATTCACAAACAGTTCAGCAATAAAAACAAAGCAGTGTAAAACACCTCTGTCTTCATACAGTGAAGTAACATCAGGGGGAGCACCAGGTGCAGTATCAAGTAGGGCTAAAGGGGCAGTGGAAACAGAAATCATGCCAGATGCTGGAACAAGGCCTAACTCCAGTGGAATATGCTGTCTTTGCTGAGTGACTGCAGAGAAACCCTGAGATTTTAGGGTCATAACTGAAGTTGCTACATAGAACTTCTACAAATCAGCAGGTTGACTCTGGCCTGCCTCACTGGGACTTGGAGCTGGGTCCACAGGAAAAGCAGGTATGGCCAAACCCACATTCAGGGAAATAAATTCTTTCTCTCTTAGGATGCTGGCATTCAGCATTGGAAGATGGAGTTCATGATCCTCATGGGTCCACTCCAACTTGGGATATTCTGTGTATTCTGTAATTCTATAATTACTTATGAGGACCCAGTGTGAGCTGAAAGAGTGGCACTTAGTGGATGCAGTAAGAGCAGCAATTTCTGTTGCTTGCACAGCACTGAAAAATTCCTGATCACACTGCACAGTAATGCTACACAGGCTCCCACTTCCCCCCAGTTCCCCTCCCTCCTATTCCAACTGAACAGCACCTGTATCCACCTCCAAGAAAAGCCCAGCCCAACTGTGAGACCTGCAGGTGACAGACCCAAAGACCTCCATCCCCTTTGTGCTGCAAACAGAGCCCCAGCACCTGTGGCAATGACTTCTGCTGCTCTGCCCGTGCCTGGCACACAGACATGCCAAAGAATTACTACTGGCCAAGGCTTATGTTCTCAAATCCCACAAGGCACCCAGAAGGAATATAAATACAAACAGACAATTCCTCTATCCTTCATGATGATCTCTTGGAAGGAAACGACATTATAGTAAACTGCTGATATTGGAGAATCATATATTCCTAAAACCAAAGGTGCTTTTGGGTGATGCAAAACCAATTTACCTCTTCAGCATGTTGCTCCTTTGCCAGATTAGATCTAACTACTCCCTTTGCTCTGCACTGTGGATATCACGTAGCATTCTGCTGCTAATTTAAATACTTGAGATAGCACAGTCAGCTATTGTTTTATTTTAAAATAAAATCTGTCAGTCTGTAAAAAGTACTGGGTAGAGCAGGGAAAAGGTAACCCAGTACAGCAAGTATTTCCTGGGATGTTTCCTTCAGTCGTGGGGCCACCTAGTGTCACAACTGAGAAAGGGCTGGGGCTTGCTCTTCACAACAGAGTGACTGCAGAGTGACAGTGTATTTGCAATTCACATATTACTAAAAAGATTCATAGACTCTTCATTCCACTTTTCAAGAAAGAAGAATAAAACTGGCTGGGGAAAGCTGAAGAAACCATACACCATTTCTAGCCTTTAGATACTTCGATAGCATCTTGATAAGGTTTTTCAGAGTCCATAAGGAAGCTACAATACTGTTTGCATTTCAGTGGTGGTACCAAGATAATTTTTCTGAACCATTCTGGTGAGAAAAGAAAACTGTGCAAATGCTTGGTAGATTAGCACCACTTGAATGAAGCAGACTGGTTCCTGTGAGGTGCTGCAATAACAAATGAACCAGTTCTGAGAACTGTCATAAGGAAAGAGAAAACACTGACATCCTGGGACAAAAGGATCTTTTCCTTCTTAATTTTTGAGGTGCCAGTGCTCAGAAAACAGATTTTGAATTGTGGCCCTTTTACCATTTCTTCTGGATGATCTGAATCTTCTGAAACACAGTTGGAGGAGCAAGAAGGAAGCTGAGAATCCCACCTGGACATTCTTCAAAATGCAACTGCTCCTGATGTTTTCTGCTGAGAAAGATTAACTGTTGTGTTTGCCCACATATCAAAGGGCAAGGTCACAGCTACCTCTGAATATTTAAAACACAGTATGCAAACACAGTAGCTGCCACAGAAGACAAACACATCAAGTGTTTCATGTAATAAACATGGATACTCTTGACAAGAGAGGAATTGCCTCTGCCTCATGAACTGACAGGGCTCACTATCCATGCTTGGAACTTCCCTTGAAAAGAGTTTGCATTCTGGCATGTCTTCTGCTGCTGTTACATCCCTCTGGGTTACTTCTGCTATCCCTAAAGCATTTTAAGTTCTAGTATAATTAGTGATACAGTGATTGGCAGCATCTCAAATACTGTGTGTAGAGACTTGCTTTGGGCATAGTACAACATTGTGCCTACATATGAGACATTTACTTCAACCTTGACATAGTAATGTTCTGGTTGCGCTGACCAAGAGAAGGAAAAGTGAACCTTTACATCCAAAAAGAGCCTCATCTAAAAACCAGCAGAGTTTAGACTGAGAGGTTAATTCTGCCTTTAATTCATGTTAAGAACGCAAAGAGCAATGGTTGATTTTGAGAAGTCAGATATGTCCAAAGAAAACTAACTAAGCTGTTGATCAGTCGACCAACTGACAACAACTGGCATTAGGTTGGATCTGAAACACAGAACAGAGATATCTCTGGTCCAAGTTCTGTGAGGTTTCTACAAAAGAAAAATCAAGGACCTTACATTATGTTGCTGTTACCAGATCATGAATCTGGTGAGTCAGTGGTGATCACTGCTTTCTTGACCAATCCTTTTCCTGCCTTCACCAGGCCTATTGTACCACATACTCTTGCCAGATGCCTGTGTCAGTGCCACCAATAGCTTTAGCTGTTCCCTTAAAAAAGCTCTCTGCCCACCCTTGTCTGCTGTCCTGAACTCCAGTTTATCCTCCAGGGACCGACCCCCACTGCAAACATGTCCACAAAATATGGCCACAGTACAGACAGACACTAACACTGCCCAGGGCTTCTGCTGTGCTCAGAGAGGAAATGGTAAATCTTAACACAGCATGAAAAAATAGGAGTGCTTACAAGTGCAAAGTTACTTAAAATTCAGTTTAGCTTTATAGCGATTTAGCCGTCCTGTTTAATTAGTATTTAGAATTGCATGTTGTTTATAGCCACTGGTATTTCAATAGATGTTTAAATGTTTAAAGTTTAATAAGCTTCCATTCTTAAAAGAACAAAAAAAAGTATGTAATTAAATTTTCAATTACTATAGGGGATTTTGGGGTCCCTGAAATTAATAAAAGCTTAAGGCACTTAAATGTGATCTTGTTTTAAAAACTAAATAGTTGAGCACTTAACTAATTAGCTCCAACACTTATAGTGCTATTTTATTTATTTCTATCTTAACAAAAGAGCTGTACATACTCCTTTCTTTGAGTCATTTAAAATTAAGCTCTAATAGAGTTGTGCATCTTTAAATGCAATTGTTTGTTTAGTCATTTCCACACCTTTTATTAAAATCCATTTACATTATAAATCAACCAAGTCTCTTGTGTAATTCCATCAAATTAATGGGCCTAGTAAAAGATTAATTTAACTCTATAATGTTTCATTGTCTTTTGACCCTATATATTCTACATTAATATATTTGTTAGGGTGGGGAAAAAAAGGGTCACAGTGTAAGTCACGGTCTGGGGAGTTTGGGAATGAGAACTGTACTGCTTTAGCATTGTGTCTGTGAATATCCAACTGGGGCAGTCAATAGGATGAGTTCAGAGGGATCTGTGGTCAGGAATCCAGGCTGTCATCGCACAGGGAAAGAATTTATCACGACACGCATGCAGTGTCCCTTCCCTCTTTGTCTTTAGGATTCCAGGGCGCTGCCAAGAACAGGGTTCCTCGAGATCAAGCTGGCACCATGTGCCAGGATAGAGAGGCTTTAGGGGCTCGCCCAGTTTTCCTCCCCCCTCCATCAGCCTGTATCCCCACAGCTTTCCCTCCCCCTTGTTGCTTTGGATATTTGCAGCCTTGACAGGCTTTTTAGAGGGCTGAATGTTCAGTTATTGTCTGGCTTGCTGACAGTACTTTTTGAGAAACATAAGCAGAGGAGGGAACTGGTGAGTTTTAAACAATGTATAACTTGGCTGCCACTGAATAGAATTTCCCAGGACAAAGAAAGAGCGCTTTGCCCTCTTCTCTCTTCCAAATTACACACGGCTGCTGCAAACAATAAGAGTTGGCAAAGTTTTCAAGTATTACAATGAGCTTTCATAATTAAAGACATACAGCAAGCTCACCACAGAACTTATGGCTGTCCTAGCAGTAGGATGCACCCGACACTGTTACATGTAAAATCAAGAGACATTTTACAATTTGAGTTTGGTGCACTGAAAACAAAAAACCTTCTGATTTCTCCCCCCACTGCAATGTTGTCTTTCATTAATTCATGTTCCAATTTTAAGAGCCACTCACAGAGCACTATTATTTTCCTCTTTTAATAGGAACACTGCTGAAGACAGGTTTTACACTGCCAAGACCTCACTAATTTGAAGTGATACATATTATGAACACATAAAAATGAATGGACACAAAGTATTGTGAATTATACACATTAAGGATGATGGATTTACAAATTAATTAACAATTAACAATAAAGCATTGATCAATAAAGCATTAACTCTCCCACTCCTTTGTAGGAATTTGCAAAGTCTTACTGAAGTTCACAATAATATTTTTTGTCAAGGGGCATTCACAAAGCAAACACAGGAAATATTTTACAATTAACACCAGTGAAATGCCTCACAAGACAAAGTTATTTGACTGTAAGACTACACTGGGCAGCTGTGAACAGCTATGGAATTGCAGTGCATGTAGGAATTTTTTTTTAAAACGCTTTTCCCCAGAATTGCTAGAAAATAATAATTTCCATTCTGTAGAACAGATTACTGGGAAAATGCAGTACAGATAAGGGTAGGACTATGGAGTTAGAAATCCCAGTAATTACTTAGTGCTACAAATTAAACATATAACAGTCTAACTTAGAGATACTCCACTGGAATACTGGAATTCAAGAACCAAACAATAAGTAGCGAGGCTCCCTCCATAGAAGGGAGGCAAAACCTTAGAGAACAAACCAAAAAATCCTCTTGGCAGCTTCATTTCAAGTCACTAATTAAAAAAAGGGCTCCGAACTTCTGCTCCTCTGTGGAACACAAACAACTCCCTTCTACTCTGTACCCGAACTACAGATTGCTATCTTCACATCCATCCTGCCAAAAGGCTGTGGAGAAGCCAGCTCACAAAGCACACCAACCCAAACTCAGTGGTACAGCTGACAGAGCTTGAGTGCCAGGCCCTCATCCCACAGGTGTTTCTTCATTTAGTAGCCAACACCATCCTCGGGACCAAGGCCACCCAAATACCCACTGGTGAGGTAACAAATCAGATCCCTTTTCCTCCTGCACCTCAGTGCTGTTTCAATACCACACCTTAGGGCTCCATTCCCGGTGGCTGGAATTTGAATCCACTTCAGGGCTCAGAAAGAGACTCTGCAGGAGGACGCCATTCCTAGGAAATGTATAATCTACTATGGGCACAGCACCAAGGCTGCCAGAGCTCAAGGTGTGTTTGGACAATGCTGTCAGGGACAGGGATTGGTGGGGTGTCCTGGGCAGAACCAGATGATCCTTGTGGGTCTCTTCCAACTCAGGGTGTACTGCGATTCTGCAAGAGGTTGACATAACCTAAAGCTCAGTCTCAGTGTTCAGTATGATATAACTTTCCTAAAACTTTAATTAATGGTGGCAGTTAGCTGGGTTCCTTTTTTTCTCCCCTTACAAACTCTTGTCAGTTTAATCATTAAATCACCAAAGCTTTGAGTTTCTCTAGATTAGCTCTGATGAGCTTGAGTAAACAAAGCTTGAGGGAGTTGAGGATTGGACATCTGGGTTTTTAAATTTATGACCCTTCTAAGACATGTTGGAGTAACCAGAAGACACAGAGGAGATTAACAAAGACATTACACCCTGAGAGTTAGAGACTCTCTGTCTAAGGAAGAATGATAAGAGAACCAAAGAATGTGGACCCAATTAGACAATAAAGGACAGAATACTAATTAAATTAAGAGAACTGTGTAACTTAGAACCAATTAATGTCACTTTCTTTGTTTGCTAAAATGTATAAATATGTGAAAAGTCTTGCAAGGGACTCATGTGGCTGGAATAATTCACTAGGTGTCTCTGCCCAGAACAAAGCAATGCCTGGCTCAACAACACTTAGAGGTGGTGTTGGAGGCTTTCACTTCTTCCCGACGATTTTCGGTGACAACAGAACCCCTCCCAAAACTCCTCTTTTTTGAGGAATCTTGTGCTTTCCAGGTACAGTGGGAACAGGGATTGGTGTATGCATGCACAGCACCCAACAGCACTATGGGAAAGGCTTCTAGCATCCCTGCAGTCGCCCACACTCCGGTGTAATTTGACCAGCAGATGGAAGCAAAAGAACAGGCTACAAAATTTAGCTAAATCCTGCTGTTTCTGGGCTTTCTGGGGGAAGAATCACAGAATAACAGAATGGTTTGGGTTGAAAGGGATCTTTAAGGATCATGCAGTTCCAGCCCCGTGCCATGGGAAAGGACACTTTCCACTAGACCAAGCTGCTCCAAGGCCCGTCCAGCCTGGCCCTGGACACTTCCAGGAATGGGGCTGATGGGGTGGGGGCGCGGCGGGGCAGTACAGCCGTGACCGATGGAAATAGGGGCCGGGGAAGGGAGGAGCACGGACTGTCCGCTTTCGCTGTGCCTGGTGCTCCATGATCATGGACAGAG